CCTATCATAAAAACGGCTTCGGTATTTCCCTTCCAAGCCCTGTTTAATTCAACTGTAAAAAATGTACAGTGAGACGAGGTTTGTCATAAAAATTCCGCTCCTGGAAATCATTTCTAGAACAAGAACAAGGAGGCGGAGGCGGAGGAGAGAGACTTGCAAACAATGCTGGCAGCCTTTCAGATCGACTGAAAACTCTCAAACGTCTTGTCTGCAATCACGGCGGGAGGGAAGGAGGGCCGTGGGAATGGCCCGAATGAAGAACAGCCCCGTCCAGTAACCTCTTCGGCAGCGATTGGCAGATTTTGGACATGCCAGACATTTTGTATTTTGCTCTTTCTTCCCATCCCTCTCTTCCAACCGTCCGAAAGGAATTGCATTGCAATCAGGGGTGTCCAACCTTGGCAACTGGAAGACCTGTGGACTTCAACTCCCAGAATTCCCCAGCCATTGAGAGAGTTGAAGTCCACAGGTCTTCCAGCTGCCAAGGTTGGAGATGCCTTCTCTAAATAAATACATGAATGGACAGTGTTGATTCTAAAATTCCATGTGACTTTGGGAGATAGGAGGAACAGCTGCAGACCAAGATGATCAAGGTCAGGGAAAAGGTTTCTCAGCCTCCAGAGGGAAAAGGGGTGGTGGCGGAAAGCATTTCGGACCCTCCCTAATTTCCAGAGCGTAAAAAGAAATGAGGGGAGAAATACAGATTTGCAAGATTCTGTTACACAAGGTTGGTTAAACTAGCTAAACTAAATCTTAGAATGTCTATGTGGGAAACCTTAGATCATATTAACAGTCAGAGTCTGTGTATCTTGTTTAGACTACCTTAAAGGACTAACAATTAGGTTTATCTTGGCTGTTTGTACAGGATTCATCAGTCTTGCCTTCTACTTTTCCCCACAGGCAACTGACCCCCATCACCCAGGGAGCTTCACTAATGGAGGATGGGCTATAACCTTGGACCCCACCAGCACCATCCAACTCCTTAATCACTACATCATACCATCTTCTCAACTTCAAGAGGGGTGGACTTCAACTGTCTTCTCAGGGAATTTTCCTAGACGATTCTAAGGTTTTGTTTAACTTGTGACACACACACACACACACACACACACACCAGCACCGACCGCCTTGTCTATTTATTTATTCCTCCGAAAATCAGCTTGCAAAACCTCTGCATATAAATGAGATTAAGTCCTTCAGGCCATGTAGAAATAAGCAATAGCAGAATAAGAAAATGTTAATAACGGAGAACAACAATCTATTTAGAAGTCAAGAGTTAATACCCACAATGCATGGTCAAAAGCTATACAACGGGAGGAATCTGCTTCAACGTGTCTCCACTCCTTGTACGTGGCCTCATCGTTTAGATGAAAGATGAAAATCTGAGCAGAGTTTTGCAACAAATATGCCATCTTAGCCAAGAAACCATCTCGGTCTTTTGCCTTGCAAAAAATATGATCTGATTTATTTGACGAGGATATCTTAGGTAGGCAAAATATAGGAGAATGTTGAAGGCTTAGAATGCTGGAGGCCAAATATGTAGCAATCTAACCTTGAGCTTCCTCTTAACAATTGTTGAGGCTTGATTTAGAAGGACACGGGAAGGCTAAGAGCTGGAATAGCCTTGGTAACACCAGTTGCACCCTGCCAGAATATTTTTGGCAAAGCTACTAGGACGGGATGGGAGTAACTCAGAAATCTGCTCGTAAAGGCTTAGGCCTATTAAGCAATCAGGGTGTGTATAAACGGACATTCTTGTGTATGTAATTAAAATGAGGGAGGAGATATCAGAGACAATTTCAGAGGATTGGGTTTGGGGATGCATTTTAGAACAAATGGAGCCTGGGCTTTGAAGAATATTCCACAAAAGGTCCCAGTGAATCCAATTCACCGCAAATGTTCAGTCAACTTGGGGGCCTCACAGACTTGAGGTGGCATTTTAGGACCACCCTGCAAAGATGGGGGCTGGGAGAGGGACTTTGTTGGGTATTTCAAGATGGGAAATGGGTACGTTAAGCTTTTGTAGGATTTAGAATAACCATCTAGCCCAGTGGTTCTCAACCTTTTTAATGCCGCTACCCCCAAGTCAAGGACTACTCAACCGGTCGTAAGTCGAGGACTACTCAACTGGTGCAGCACTGTTTGCAGAATGGGACTTTTGGTGGGCTCAGCAGGGCAGAGACAGCCTGGACAATTCCTATTGGCTTTTGAAAGCCAATAGAATAAAAGGGAGTAGCACAGCTAAGGAAAAGGGGGGGGGGAATGGCAGACTGCATTGTTTGGCAACCCCCATGAAATGGTCGTTCGACCCCAAATGGGGTCCCGACCCACAGGTTGAGAACCACTGATCTAGCCCCTCTTTCTCCAAGAGGGAGGAGGAGGAGGAGGAGGAGGGAGAGAAGAAGAAGAAGAAGAAGAAGAAGAAGAAGAAGAAGAAGAAGAAGAAGAAGAAGAAGAAGAAGAAGAAGAAGAAGAAGAAGAAGAAGAAGAAGAAGAAGAAGAAGAAGAAGAAGAAGGAGAAAAAGAAAAATAATATTGGACCCCATTCAGGTGACCATAACACCCTGGCTTATTCTTTTAAAAATCATGTTAGTTGCTAGCCATACTGGACCTTATGAAAGGTTGTAAATGCTCAATTTATTATTAGGGTATATATTTAACTATACAGTATATCTCTATATCTACAGTGATACTTCCTCTCCTTCTATAATCTCCTTTGCCACAGCAAAATGTGGATTATTTTCCACTGAATACACATCACACTGTGCTTTAAGTTCATCTGAAATGCAAATTATTTTTTGCTTCTTCTTTGCTTGGTCTAACATATTCATTTTGGTAAAACTGTTGTAAAATATGGAACCGTAATGGGGAACAGAGAGCATTATAAATGCCCCAGGTGCAATTCCAGGGGAAAAAAAAGTAACGATTTATTATCATTTTTAATTGGGCGGGGATGGTGGGGGTCTGAAGACAGCCTGGAAGCATCTGGGTAGCAATTTTACCAAAATTGCCTACGACAAAAACCACCAGCACTCGTTTCGCTGTATTGGGGGAATCGACCCTCATCAACATCCGATTAAAAACCCATTTTCAATCTGTGACGAATGAAACCTTTAACTGATCAAATCTGTGCAATGATTCTTTTATAAGCCGCCCCATTTAGCCCGCCGGGTTCGACGTGTAAATGTGATACGACAAAATTTCCATTCATCGATGGCGTTACACTGGAGCTGTGATCATTTTCGCTGTGTGAAGTTTTAGCAGTTCTCTTGGCTGGGGGGGGGGCTAAAGGGAGCTAGCCCCTTGGAGCTTTTCAATGAAAGAAGTAATTTTCCTGCCATCCTTTCCAGATTTATGAAAATATTTCATAAATGCAGAGTTGAAACGACCTTTAAAAGGTCGCTTTGTCCTTTCGTTGACCTACAGGATGTGCTCTTTGGAAAGAGTGATATGCCATTGCCTTTTATGCTGTATGGTAATCAGAATGTCAGCTCACACCGCCTGCCTCTTTCCTCCCCTCTCTCGTCTGCTCTGCTCTTTTCCGATTGTCCTTTCATCCAAAGTCCAAGCGAGTCAAATCTGTCCTTCAAACACGCCTAGCTGAGATGACTCCAGCTCTTCAGATGTTCCTCAACATTTAGGGCTGGCTTAGGGGAGAGTTATGGTCATGAGTTGATCACCAGATCTCCAGCTGCATCAGAAGTGAGTTGTTTCTCTCCAGGAACTCACCTTGGGTGGGTTATAAAAGGCTATAAATAAATTCAGAAATGTGTACTGGATGGTGTTGCAAGGAACCACGTCAGAAGACAGTATTCTGATCCACAACCAATGCCATCTCCTTTGGAGGCTCTGCTGAAGACCAGGTTGGATGGATTGGCAGGCATTGCCAACCATTGGCCAACCGTGGCAACTTGAAGACCTGTGGACTTCAATTCCCAGAATTCCCCAGCCAGCATAGCTGACTGGAGAATTCTGGGAATTGAAGTCCGCAGGTCCTCAAGTTGCCAAGGCTGGAGATGCCTAAATAAATATGTGAATGGGAGACTGTTGAGTCTAAAACCCCCGGGTGGCAAAGCAAAGATTCTTTTACGGTTATTTCCACAAAGGTTAGCATCTCTGAAGCTTGCTGGTCTAATATCTGTAGGGACTGGATGGTCCAAATGTGAGGACCATCCACGAGACTATTCTACATGAATAGTAGAATACTGAAATGGCTCAGTGTGAAAGTTGAAAAAAAAACCTTATCCTGTGCGAATCGTAATAAAAATTAAACAAGTGAATTTAACAGAAAGAAGGACATTTGCATAACTCCAAGTCCGATGCCAGGGAAACATTCAAATTGAAAGCAAAATCTTTTCAAATAGAATGATTTATTTCAGTAGTCATTTTTCCCCCGCTTGGCCTGATGTATTTTTGAGTAGCTGGTAAAAACCTTCTCTGGAGGACAGCTTGGAAGGTCCAGCTTAAAAAAAAATGGCATTAATGGATTGTTGTGTGGAAGGAAATGAGAACTGTGGCATTAGCTTTGAAAAAAAATGAATACATAGTATAATTGGCAAATATGTGTGCAGTTAACAGGAATCCCAAGTCTTTAGTTCACTTATCAAGCTAACATTTATCTCCCTTCCTTTCCCCTTTCCTCTCGTCCTCCCCTCCCCTCTTTTCTCCCCTCCAATCAAAACTCCATTCAGTGGGGAAAAAAACCAGGAATTGAAAACAGGAAGGTAGAAAATAAATATCTTTCTTTTCACAAACCCATTGAGTAGAATTTGTTGAGAATGCACTGAGAGTTTTCCTTCTGAATATTTAATTCCATTCCTAATCATACTCATGTTCTTATCTAAGGAATGTGTCCTCCAGAAAATACACTTGCATATAAATACAAGTGGGTTTTTTTTAAAACGGTAACCCGTGACTTGGTCAAGGCAAATCAAGCAAATAGAATATGCAAACATTAAAGAAACTATTTGGCTAGATAACTTTTGCAGAAGTCCACTTACCATGTCGATGGGGATAGGTGGGAGGGCAATTGTATATAGGCCCAGTTGATAAATATTTCTCATACGCCAGTTGTATTTTACTTTTTTTCCACAGATGAGCTCTGAAGAATATAGTTCTGCTAGTTGTCCAGAGAAATCTTTGGGATATTCAGCCTGAATTTTCAAACGAAAAAAAAAAAAGTTCCTGGCTTAATATTATTATTTTATTAAGATAGCAAGACGTTTGCACAGTAGATTTTTCTTTTTCTTTTAAGGAGCCCATTTGAAGCTCAGGGGGAATTGGTGGAGAAAGGGCTGGATAAGCCATTATTATACAGCGAGAAGCTGCTTTGAAAGCTTTTGGGGAAGAATTTAAATGTATTTGGAGTCCAATTGGAACTCAAATCAGATTTGGATGTTTTCCCATTACATCAGCAGGAATCTATATTAGTCACTTTGCTATCTTTCAGCAAGCTCCCTTAATCTCTTGCCTTCCCATAAACCCCAATATATTCCGTAATATATTATACAATCCAATACTCCAACAATATGATTTTATTATAATAGGAAAACCGTATGTTTACAATTTGGAGGGAAATGGCTGCATTTTTCAGCTGCCTCTCCCCTGCCCCAACACCCCCCTCAGAGAGCACCAAGGACCCCACAGTCCTCCTCCTCTCCCTTCTAGCACTGATGCTGTTACCTAGTTGGGTTATGAAATGTCTGCAAGAAAACCATCAAGCTCAGAGAGCACCAAGGATCCCTCATCTCAACCTTGAGCTACAAATATTCTCTTTTATTGATACAACTAGGAACGGTCACTTTGTTCTCTCCTGCATTTCTCCAACAGTAATTCCTCTCCTGATGGCCTTGGGGCATTTTGTTGCCTGAAAGATCTTCTTAGAAAAAGCAAGTCAGACTGTAGATGAACATATCACCTAAACAGATATTTTCTATTCAAATCAATGCAGTTCTGCAGTCAAATCCAGCGGGCCAGAAAACATTCAATTGAAAGCCACGTGAATTCCTTATGATGTGGCCTGCTGTGACTTCATGGTGGACAATTCGGATAAATTTGTCTTTAACAACAACAAAAAACATATAATAATGAAGCAAAAAAAGCGTTGGTTTGGGCAGCCCTTTGGGCTGCGTGGGTTTTAAATGTCTAAGTCAAAGAAGAAAAAAAGCTTAGTTTTCCTTTCCAGCAGCTCCGGTGAGTTTCAATGGCTTCTCCAGAAATCAATGCTGGAAGAGGAGAAAGTGACAGTAATTGAAAGAAAAATATTTGCCATTTTAGCCTCCAACCGTCAGAAAACATCAGCGTTGCCTTTCGCCGAGAGCTTCAGAAGATTGTTTTTGCTTGAGCTGTACAATACTCTAAACCTCAAAGTCCATTCTCTTAGCACATGTGGCTGCTGCTTCTCTCCTTGTGTGTCTTTTTTCCCCCCTCTTTCCCCACCATGGTGGGGGGCTTAGCTGCAAGTATCGGCTCTTATAAATCCAGAAAAAAAGGCTCCAGAAGAAGTTTTAACCACCAGTTTACAGAAGCTCTTAAAATAGATCCAACCTTGACCGTCCAACATTCTAGATTCTACTTCTTATGCCCGGTTTCCCAACCTTGACAACTTTTAAGATGGATGGACTTCAACTCCCAGAAGTCCCCAGCCAGTGGTGCTTCTGGGAGTTGAAGTCCACAGGTCTTCAAGTTGCCAAGGTTGGAGATGCCTGCTCTAAATAAATAGGCGAATGGACAGTGTTGATTCTAAAATCCCATGTGACTTTGGGAGACAGGAGGAAGAGCTGCAGCGTAGATGACCAACGTCATGTAAAAGGGGTCTCAGCTCCGAGGGAAAAGGGAGGTGGATGGGAAGCATTTCAGAAAGGACCTTCCCTGTTTCCCAAAGAGGAAAAGGAAAAGGGGGGAGGGAGATTTCAGACTTCCAAGATTCTGCTAATCTAAACTTACAATAAAGGGAACGTTACTACTCCTGGTTTGTGCTTCTTGTCTGGACTGGCTCAAAAGGATAACGATCAATCTCCCATGTTTTGTACAGGACCTATCACTTTTTCCTTCTACTTTTCCTCACAGGCAACTGACCCCATCACCCAGGGGAGCTTCACTAATGGAGGGTGGACTATAACCTTGGATCCCATCAGCACCACTCAAGGTTTGAATCACTACATCATACTGTCTTCTCAACTTTAAAAGGGGTGGACTTCCAACTTTTTTCTCAAGGAATTTTCCTAGCCAAGTCTAAGGTTTTGTTTAACTTGTGACACACACCCACACACCAGCACCAATCTCCTTGTGTCTTTATTCATCCCTCAGAAAAGTGATGCTGGCTGGGGAGTTGAAGTCCACCCATCTTAAAAGTTGCCAAGGTTGAGAAATACTGCGTTAAAACAATAGTCACCCAGCAATCTTTAGGATAGAGCTGATAAATCTGGACTCATAAAATCTGTGTTTGGTTTTATTTGTCACCTGCAGCTGATTGCGTCTGACACATCTCTGCTCGGTTCTTTAATTGGAAATTGGAGCTAATTTTGTCTGTTTTTGCCTTATTGCCTGCCAGACGGCTGGGTGTACCTGCTTCTGTGGGAGAGAGAAGGAAATTAGGGGAAGACCTGGCCTTTTCCTGGAGCTATGCCCTTATGTTGAGTCCCATGTGTTCATGCTGAGGCTTATTAATTCTCCTCCATCAGGTAAAGTGGCGGTAGCCCCTATGAAAGGAGGAGGTGTAAACAGCTTGTCCTTCCTCAAAAGGTTGAAGGAAATCTGCCTCTCCCCAGGACATCACATGGGGGGAGGGGGGAG